AAGTATTAGAAAGTTTAGGCGTGACAAACCCACGCAACTGTCTGTTCAGCGCTATAAGCTAAACGGAAACGTTCACAAACCTACTCTTTAAAACTTAACTGTCTCTAACATTGAGTGATGGACTCCTACGTTTGAGTGAATTTTGGCAGTGGGTTATGTTCCGTATGACTAAGAATAAGCATCAAAGGATTCGGACTATGTCATGATTGCCTTAGGAATTATAAATTAAGTTTTAGATCTAGAAAGTAGTGTATTTGTTAAGTTAGTATTCTATGTTTGGATCACGGTTCACTATGGAACAGTTTCGTTTATAGTTTTTTGTTTGGTCATGCAATCTTAAATAGCTACATCCGAAGATGTGCAACCTAGTCCTCATACGCGTTTAATCAAGTGAATCCTGGCATTACCTAATTAGTTATAGCTGGGTAATAAGTTTAGAAAAACTTGCATTTACGTAGAACCCTTTCCAGGACCCCAGGACGCACAAAAGTGCTTTGTGTCAAGTGGAATACTTTTAAATTGAAGTCGCTGTTGCAATGCGAGAGTTGCAGCGAAAAGAAATAGACATTTTACCGATGTTTTGCACAGATACTGTTTGAAATGTTTCAGCCTGTTATGTATTTTTAGCCCTCGTTGTCCAAATACTCTTATTAATAACAATTAATGAATAGATGGAAGGCGCACTCTTCAGAAGTTGATCAATTAGTTAAAGCACCGATGGCATCTGCATTTCCGAGCAGCGAGGCAGCAGCCCCTCCGATTAACTTAGGGTAACCCGCCCCCCCCTTCCCTCCACGTCCCCCAAAAAAGCATTGAATCAGAGAGTTTCGCAATCAGCTGTGCGTCGATGCACAATCTCAAAATGAACCTGGAGATCCATCAGGCTCGTTCTAGTTGACCGCAAAATTTCAAAAGAATTCATAAGGTCTTAGCGGCAAGTTTGCGTAGAAGAATAGACTTTTGCTTGTTTGGATATTAGCAACTTTTCCTATATTTATGTACCACGGACTGATACAGATGTCTCTAAGTGAAGCTCTAAACACAATCGTGAAAGATTGACAATATAGGAAGTGGTTAACAGATGTAATAACCGCGACAGAGTGCGACTGATGCAGGTTATGTTACACTCAGTATTCCATGGGAATGTATCTGCGCTTACAATAGCACTGTAGACTGCAGCATTGGCGTGCTTTTGTTGTAGCTTGACCGATTGAGCCCGGTCTAACGCCTCCAACAACAAGCCATGTTAAATGTGCTTTACTCAAAATTGCACTTTCGTGTTTGCGAAAATCGCATGCATAGAATGTCAGCTTTTGTGATGTAGTCAGTACAACAACGTTTACTGTTTCCATTCTACATGACGCAATTGTCTTCCTCCACCTTCCTCTTCCCCCGCCAATGGGCACGAACATACCTAAAGTGAGTTGTCTCCATGTAGCGACGATACCAGCATAACTGCATGATGGGCAAAGGAGAAATGCAGGTGCACAGCTCACATTGTTTCCGAATACAATGGAACGACTTTTGACACCGCGGCGTTCACATCTCTCAGCATTGAGTTAAGTGCTAAAAGTAGGAGAGCCAAAGGCTGCGATGGGTTTAGGTGTGATGAACAAAATTACAATTTCCAATATTGGGGAATATACACCTCCTAACATGGCAGGGGACGCTCCGTTTACTACGGCAGACGTTACTAGTTTCTAATCATTACAGATGTTTCGGCGATTAGATTTGAAATCAACCTAATGTTTAAAAATATTCGGAGCTAAAATGCTAGCCTGGAGGCGAAGTCCCACAGTTCTGCCATATGGCGATATTGATGCCGATGGTAGGTTTCTGGTACTGATCGTTCTTGGGTGAACTAGTTTTGAAACTGTTCACTTTGGAAATCTATTGCTCGATAATAAAATGTTGAAATTGTCTACCATTGCAGAAAGCGGACAACAGTAATACATAAGCCGTATCTATAGGTCGCCAAAAAAGTTCTTCGCCCCACGTGTCAGAATCTTCACAAATCATACTTGGTATTTTCTAAATGTTTTGTCTGTTTAAATGTAGTTAATCAAGGTCATGCAAATATGCGTAGATAAGTAACACTCAATGTGCTGATTAAAGTTCAGTTATTGATATTTTGTTATATATAAATGCCACCACTTGTAATATACCGTGTAATAATATTCATACCGTCCACTGTTAAATATAAGTGGCCTCACTAACATTCAATAAATGTGTTACGGAGGTATAAATTACAGTTTAATAACTGTAAATTACCAAATGCAATGCAATATTTATATGCGATAAATATTGACACAAATATTACTTAAAATATATAGCAGTAAATCGGAGATGAACCTAAGCTTACCGTATAACATTACACTAAACAATCGGTCACAATATGGAAAGCGCTGGAATTTTCAGTAGGTCTGGGCAGCATATGTTGGAATGCTGTACTGGATTGATGGTGTAGAACTTTCTCAGCACAGATGCTGCATGACCTGCCGAATGGTTCCTTTGCTTTCTAGTCTGGTGTCCGAAGACCAGTCTTGCCAGTATTTTTTTTATTAACCATAAGTGCAACTCTTCACCAATGATACAATTGTGCACTTAGCACAAGTAGTAGAACAGTGTGTATTTTAGCAACGATAATATTCTTTTAAAATAAAAACATGCACCCGCTGTGATGGTTTGATAACGTGGAAGGCAATTTACAACATTTTAGGACGCCCACGGTATGACAACCCGCTCCTTACGTTAGACAATTCAGATTGTAGCTGCCAGAACAGGCACCTCATTGCTTGTCTGCAGCAATCTCTATTTTACTGGGAATAAATCTTTGGACAGAATGACATTGAAGATTTGTCGCTAAGACAGGCAAAGGATTAGCCTATCAGCCCATTAATCTTTTTTGGTCAGTGCCCCCTCTCGCAACTTTGCCTTCACCGAAGATTCCCAGCACCCACGGAACATAAATCAAACAGTGATCACACCAGTGTTATCTCTTCAAACAATCCGTTGGAGACAAGTTAACTTCATTTATTAATTTGGGGATCACGCCAGCAAAAGGGTCCAAGCTGTCTCAGTGCAGCGTGGTCCGCCTCCGCTTGTCTTAACTCACATCATTACCATGCCTCTTCTCACCCGTGTATACTACACAGTTCATAAACAATGGCTATAATAATTATTAATTGATCATTTCTCCAGGGCAACACAACAAAATCGTTTCCTTCTAACACGGTTGCTAGGTTTAATTTCGCCGAAACATGTTGACAAAGTAGGATCCAACCTTCTGCCAGCGATAGTGACATATTTGGCTGTTGCTATGAAAGCTACTCCTGTTTGGCATCAATTTGGAGATCCATCACTCTGGTGAAGAGAACGATGTTTGTTTAGGGTGTAGAGCGCCTTTTATTCAATATTAACGAAATTTCCAGGGGTACAAGGATCATAGTTATCATTGTATTGTTATTTCAGTATCTTGCAGTCTACGCTATGTTAATGGGCCCCATCATTTTATAGGTTTGACGTACCGTAACACTGGGTAAGAATAAACAGTCCCCTCTGCGGGCAGCACATTTTCTTACGAAAGAAATGCATACATAGCAGAATCTCAAATTCAGTGCGCAATAATTATTCTAAAAATAAAATCCTGAAAATATATGCTGTGAATGAAATCACTTAAATGTTACACCTCAGAATTACTATACAGTCGATAAACATCCAAACTAATGTTTCATCTTCGTTATTTCAGAGAATACCTTGAATATGTAATGTTACCGTTTGTAAAGAAAAATAGAAACGTCCATCAAAAATTTGCGCTCTGGTTTTGATTTGCACTGAGCGTCAAAAGTTTCTAATGATTATTGAGGTCGAAAAGCGAAACAATTTGAGTCGACTGAAATGTGAATGTTTACGACGTTTCTCGCCTTTGCGACTGCAACGTCGCCAATTGGATATATTTGGCATCCGGGAGTTAATATTCAAAGTTGAAAAATGAAACTGCGCTTTCTGGATAACAATTTCTCATGTACAAATTATTCCAATCCACAGTGGAAGCCACACGGCCTATTTTGCACAACATTGACTGCTTGTTTGTCCAAGTAAATCATTCCAAAAAGCAATTAGTATGGGTTGTGTTTCTCCGTAGTTACAATGTGATAATAATTGGCTGTCCCTGCATATCGAATATGTTTCAATCTCATAAAACGAGTCATCGAGAAATTACATTGGAATATGGTCATTTTGAAACATTTCCTTAACAGAGCAATGGAGATTAATGGTTGCAAACGTTTCGCTGGAAAACATACTCACGTGGGTCTGTTGACTGGCTTGCCGGCGATGGAAAGCCTGGTAACATGGATATTGGGGAAAGCTCAGCGACAAAATGCATTTATGATTGTTCACTACAATGCACGTGATTTACACTTCGGCATCTAGTCCTTAAAGTTATCAAATCGGATGCGATCTTTAAAGCCCTGATTCAATGGGAGCGAATTAATGTCAATGTCATCAAATGAATGGTTCTTACGGAAATAAATATTACCACGTCGGACGATCCATATAAATTAAACCGAAAGTAACTACATACAATATATACACTATTCTTTTTGCTTCATCACTTATATAGTTCCACAAATCTTAAATGTAATAGCTTTGTTAGAGGGATACCACGTTAAAATACTGGACACTCTCCCGCGTGGGCCCCTGTGACATTACGAACCATTGCACCGAGGCTTTAGTTATCTTTATCAATGTAATACTGCTCTCGGGGAATGTTTCGAACATTTTGAATCGTCAAAAGAGAGCACTTTTTTTCTTATGAATAATCTTATATATCCTCGACTGTCAGTATTTCCACGCTTGCGAGGCACGAAGCCTAATATTGTTTGCATAATGGGTTAATGACTTTTGTAGCATGGAATTAAAGTCTAGTACTGAACGCGATAATATGTCTTAATTAATTTGGATGTTTACAGAGAACAAAAGGCACTTTTTTTAAGTCATAGTAAATTTTATTGTTTTAAGAGCTGGAAATAATTCAGAGCGAACACTTTCATAAGAGGGTTACAACTCCAGAGGCACCGTCCTGAATCGAGCCATCCTCTGTCGCTGTGATATTTGTGCCGTGTTTAAACATTCATTCCTAGTTTTAGTTTAAATTCCGGATCCATTCATGAGAAATGATTAACCAGTTATAATTTTACACACGCTGCTATTACAAAGAAAGCCTGCAATAAGATCGCCCACACTAATCGCTACTAAATATCAAAAAGAACGGAAAGTGCTAAATTCTTACCCCTATTAACTGCTCGGATATAATCACAGATCGAAATGATTTTGAGATTGGGGCAAACATCTTCACAACATCACCCAAAGCAGTCTGCGAGAAAACGTTAAATGTTCTGCGCCTTTTTCCCTCCGCTGTTCTTAACCAGGGAGTGTAATAAAACAATATATCTCTCTTTAGATATTTGCACTTAAGAGACAGCCCGCAGTTTCTCTAATGGTTCATACATTCAGCACACATTGCTTCGCAAAAATAGAAAAGAAAAGCATGTCCAACCAAGGCAAAACTTCGAGATTCTTTTCTGTAAAATTTAGAGTACGTCCGCCGCATTTTTTTTTTGCTCTCTCCCTTTCCGGCGGTCTTTCATTACTGGAAGCTGGATTCGAATTAAATATCAGTTACATGGATACCATGGAAACTCCATCTGCTGAGCCCAGTCTGCAGCTTATACTTCAAACAAACGCAAATAAATACTGTAGTTCTAAGGGCGCGTATTTGAAACTTTGTTCTTTGAAAAACAAGAATCTATTGAGTCCCCGAGCAAGCGGTTACTGTCCATGCCGGCAGGCAGTAGGTGAACGGATAGTACTGGTATGATGGTTGAAGAGAGAGCAGTGATGGCCGAAGTAATTCTCCCGGGCTGTACTGTCTCTGATCGTCCCGGATTAACACTTTCACTGCTACTTTCTTCGCGGCTGGAGCCGAAGCCATCAGGTCAGCAGCAAGCTGCCGACGTTTGGTTTTGTACCTGCGGTTCTGGAACCAGATTTTAACCTGAGTTTCGGTGAGTTTGAGGGAGGCGGCCAAATCCGCCCGCTCGGGACCAGACAGATACCTTTGATGATTGAAGCGGCGTTCGAGCTCGAATACCTGGGCATGAGAGAAGGCGGCTCTGGAGCGTTTCTTTCTCTGTTTGGGCTGATCCGGGCTCTGCTCAGATTTACAGTCTTCGTCAATGGGGCTTGGAGCTAAGGAGTGAACAATAAGATCTCAAATGAATAGCATTTACTTGTCTATCCAATCCATTAAAAGGCCATTTAATACACTAATGAGGGTGACTTCTTAAATAAACCGCTCGAAAATAAATCTGGATAAATCCACTGTCAAAGTGTGTAAGTCTCGAGCGACATTTCTAGAAGTTGCTTTGCAGATGCACTTTGCAAAATACCGAGTTTACATAGAAATCAATGGTTAGTTAATTGTGTTTACGTGTGTAAACAGTTATTGCCATAAACTGCAGTGATTTATTAGCGAATGAATAAGTATTGTATGCTACCTGCTAAATGTTCTGGCATTCCTCCGCTACACAGATAGTCCTTATTATCATCTTTATCTTGGCTGAGACTTGAACTTGCTTCCTTCATTGGTTTCGACTGGAAGGAGCACGCTGCTGCAATCTCTAGCTCCTTTTCCGAGTTGCAAATCGAATGATTTTTACAGTCATTTTCATCACCGACGCCTGAATCAGAGTCACAACAGAGCTGCTCACTCGGCAGATCTCTCCCTGCATCGATTTTCCCAGAAGACGCATTGATCTTTGGACAGGAATCCAAAGCGTTCAACATCTTCCAACAGGTAGCGGGCGAGAAACAAGACACGTCCAAATTTTTCGAGTGTCGATTTTCATCCTTTCTGGTTAAAATTGCTTGGATGGAGAACGGGGTCAAAGTATTACCACGAACAGCCATTTTAGCAAATGCTGTTCTCCACGAACTTTTCTAAACGTTGTTTATCTCTTCTTCCCTCCCACCCTCCCTCTCTCTCTCTCTCTCTCTCTCTCTATGGAGTTATCGGTAGTGTCCGTACTTCCGTGAGCACGCAAGTCATTGCTGCTGGTTGGCCTGGGATCTGAGAGCGAGCGGAGGTTAGTTAACACTGAGTCTCTCGACTCTTTCTCTCGGCTCCCGGGTCATTGCTCCTCAAATGATTGACAGCAGAAGCCCCAAAAACCACAATCCGATTGGGCCACCACAAAGAGGCTCGATGTTTTAGCGTCTCCTCATTGGTTGCTCGCCGTCCGCCCTCGAAAGGCCGGACAGTGCTGGACCGAGAGGGGATTTGGAGAAATGACTGCACATTTGACTTGCCGTTTGAAACTGCTCTGGAAACCTGTCTGCAGTGAAAGATAACAATTACTTGAAAAGCATTCGATACAGCCTTACTGCCACACAATCACATCATTGAATTGGATCATCATCAACTTCAACGATCTTATTGATATGCTTCATGCATTACGGACCCATAACAGGTTAAAACATTCCCCAGGTTTTTTAAAGCATTTCCTGCAAATTTAATCTTCGAATAATACATTTCAGTTATAATAACTTCTGCTTTGGTGCATTGCACACACGAGTGTACCGCATGTATAATGTATAGATACACATTAAATCGATTTTGTCTGTTAATAATATTAGACTGATAGACATAGATTAGATGGATATATATACAGATTACACATGCTGTTTATATGTTGTTGTCTAAATAAACATACATCACAGGCACATATACATAGTCACAATATTTTTATAAATATTGGAAGGATAGATACATCTACAGATGAACAGGTGAATAAACAACACTCAGATAACAATAACACCATTGGATAAATATGGAGAGGGCGTAACACGGGTGAGACGAACTCCAACAAAAAAACCCAGAAAAATCCAACAAAACAATGTCACTCAACAAAAATACCATTAACCTAATCACATAATTCAATGTCGGTGTTTGCAGTCTAATGTGTAAACATATCAATTTTTGTGACAAGATTGTCAAGCGGGGATTGGGGATAAGAGGGGCACACTCAGACACCCCAGCCAAGGCGCCCTTCAGGAACTGGGATAGTCAAGGCATTTGCAATTATGCTACTGCAGGAAAGGGGGTAAAAACCGAACAACGAACATATTAACACGTAAGATAAACCGTTTCAGGCACAGCTTTGCTTCCTGAGTTTTGGCAGTCGAACTGGGTGGTCCATGTTCATTTCAGCAGTTTAGCTCGCTCCAAATGCTTTCCTCTGGTGCACTCACAGCTCCTAACCAATAGGGAGTGGGCGGCCTAAGAAACGTGATAAATTATAACGTGTTCGTTTGTTTGCACAGCAATCAAGTCCCTAATTTATACGCAGCAGAGTGTGAAATGGCGGAGAGCTCCACTCGGCAACGCTGCTTCTCTGAACTGTTCCCATATCTCTTAACCTTTTCACAGCAATCGAAAAGGCGCGCACACACTTGGGCTGGTTATATGTAAATATTAAAAAAGCTACCCAGAAATATTTAATATACCAGACTCTTTTAAGTTATTCTTCGTGTATGAAATAGTATTTATTGATAACATTGAAATTGCCGCCAGTTTAAAAGGTTTGGATAAGGGAAAAGTAGCATAAAGTGGTCCATTACAGTCTTGTGTAAATTGTGGTTGTGAAACTGCTGTTAATCCTTCATCGAATGGATCTTGCATTCAGACAAAAAGAGGCCGGAGAAGCTTTGTCAGGTCGGCTCTCATCACCTGTTGCATTTGCAAACATCCAAATTGATCTGGCGTAAAAAGAAAGTGCAAGGATGAAACGAAAGACGGAAACACACAGCTCGCTTAAGTGCTGAGCACTCCGGTTTCTGACATGCAGAAGTCAAAAAGCGTGACTGAAGGACCCCTTGAGTGAGTGGATTGTGTGTCCGCGCCACGGTCAGAATCTCCCATTACGGCAAACCAAAAGAACCACGGGCTTAAAATGCAGGGAATATCTCACCCCAGTGAGGGGGAGACTTTTATCACGGGACAATCGCATGTCGCCGATCATCAACAAAACACTACGGTAAAAACAATGCCAGCATTATTCGTATGAATATAAAATACCCTTACCTCAAAACTTTACAAATGCCAGCGATATATATTGCAACGGCCGTGAAAATAAACTACAGGAATTGGAAAATCAGCTTTCTCTGTACAAACAGTACCGAATCCTTCAAGAAAAATTGGAATGTTACACCGTTCAGTCTGTGAACGTGTCTTACTGAATGAACGAAAAGTTCAAGGAAAACGAGCCGGGGTTGTGTTTGAGCTGTCGCCTCACCTCATCCTCACCCAGTCTGCAAACCTCAATGGGACATTGACAAGACATCCTATCGCCATTTACAGATAGATACATGCCCAGTGCACTTTTTATAAGCACAAGGTCCATTTAAAAATTTCAAGCAAAGGTTCCCCAATCAACACTAACGCATTGACTTGCAACAGGAACTCCGAAATCATCTCCCTTCTCTAGTTCTTAATTGGATGAAAACAATGCAATATAAAGCTTAAGCAGCGGTTATAGGAACGATGCACTGATTTAGTTTCGCAGAAACGAATAAAGTGCAGATTGGGTCCACCGATCAGGATTGCAGGTAAAGTGAGAATAGTTTGGTCACTCCAATCTCCCAGTCCAGAAACTCAAACCCCGAGTTTACTTTGAGCTGCTTTCGCACGCCATCTAGAGTCTCTAACATTCACACACATGCTTTGTCAGAAACCATATATTACCACATACGAGAGTTAAAACAAGTTCTGATTATAAATCAATAAATGCCCTTCCAACGGGTAAAGATCTTCCTTTAAGCCAGTACTCAAGAACATTTAAAAATCCAACATGATTCTAAAGGAAAAGGAGGGGTCACTGGATCCGAAACGTTAACTCTGATTTCTCTTCACAGATGCTGCCAGACCTGCTGATCTTTTCCAGCAACTTCTGTTTTTGTTTCTGATTTACAGCATCCTAGTTCTTTCGGTTTTTATTTGTGATTCTAAAAGAGGGTGAGTTTTTCTGACTGAAAGACAAAAACAGTACCTTTCTCATAATCTTAAATTTTCATAAAACAAATATTTTAATACATACCCAATGAAGGTGTCTGTCAATTATTCAAAACTACCTCGCTTTATGTTTTAGACATACTGATTTTAGATGACTTGGAAGCAGGCACTTGAAATAGAATGTGACCCTTTTGACAAGGCGGTGAACTTGCGAAGCAGCGGTATCATAAAGAGGAACAATAGCCATTGGACCCTTTCAATCGTGAGAACAGTGTAACAGGATTTCATCAATCGTCTCAATCTACCCCTAATCTCTACTCCCAGGTTTCCTCGAACCAGCATCTTGGGTTGATTTACAGTATCCCAGGTCTCTCCAGAGAGCCTGGACAGGCTCGGATTGTTTTCTTTAGAGCAGGACAGGCTGAGAGGGGACCCGATTGAGGTGTATGATGTTGTAAAGGCCATAGATACGGTGGAGAGGAAACAGCTGTTCCCCATAGTTGAAGAGTCAATAACAAGGGAGCATAATTTTAAGGGGAAGGCATAGAAGGAATTTAAGGAGAAAAAATACACCCAGAGGCTCGTGGGAATCTGGAATGCACTGCCTGGGAGGACAGCAGAGGCAGGAAACCTCGCAACCTTTAAAAACTATTAGGTGAGCACATGACATGACACAACATTCAAGGTTATGGGCCAAATGCGGGAAAGTAGGACTGGTGCAGATAGGTCAGGGCTGACTCAATTGGCCAAAGGGCCTCTTCTGTGCTGTATGACCCTATTTTACAACACTTCAAGCAAGCACTGACATTTGATGTACAGAATAATCCACGTGGTATTAATTGAATCTGGTTTTCATTGCAGAAAAAAAACAAGACGAGACAAATTCTGGGTCTATAAGTGCCATGGGCCTCAATATTTGGTTGGGTAGTAATCTTAATTGTAGCCCTAAGGATGCTGGTTTGAGTCCAAAATAATATCAATATGATGCATGTATGCACAGTTGCAGTGCTGTCTTAGTTCTATGCACTTTTGGTGATGTGGGTAATGTGGCCAAAGGCAGTGCTTGTTAGAATCCAGACCATGGAAATGACTGACTCCAATATTGTCATTTTCAACTATAGCATTCAAGCAACTAGCTCTTGATCTTGTACAACTGAAATGATAATCAGCAGTAGGGCCCACTTGTATCATTTAGAAGAATCAATAACCACTTTCAGATCAATTGATGATTGATTTTGTTACTATTTTGGTGGTTCATGCAGCTGCCTGAAATTGAATTCTATAAGGAATTGTGTGGCATATGATGATGATATTGCTTATATCACTGGCTATCCATCTCATATTCCATTTGACCTACAGCATGACAGGAAGAATGAGGAAATATGACACAGAGGTGGACAAGTGAGTAAAGAGGGAGGAGATGGAGAGTGAGAGGGCTCACAATAGGAGCCCATATGGAGACTCAGGATGTTTAGGGAGCAAATCTCCTGCTTCGACCTCAACAAGGAACAGTGTGTGTGTGACATTTCTGAAGGAGAGTCATACTGGACTTGAACTCTGTTTTGTTCTCCACAGATGCTGCCAAAGCTGTTGAGTTTCTCCTGCATTCTATTTCAGATTTTGAGCATCTGCAGTATTTTGCATTTACTTGTGCAACATTTTCATTTGGCTAAGCTGGTGCTCACTGAAACTTTCTTTACCAGTTGTCAGCAATTTTACAGCTTCAAAATCGGATGAAAAACATTTCCATTGGAATTGAAGTGGCCACTCCAATTGACATGAGTCCATCTTCCCCGTTAGAGTGAGGAATGCAGCTGTCTGTCCCTCATCAGTTAGTTGCTGTCAGCTGCATTTCTGTAACATATCCTGCAAGGGATAGGAAGTGTGTTAGTGAATGTAGTGCAATGTGCTTGGTTGATCTGAATTCCCCGCTGAATGTCTAATA